TGGAAGCAAGTTGACTGACAGTTACCATTTCTAAGCCTTTCCTCATCTACAAAATGGGCAGAATAATAACTAAATGACTGTTTTTGAGAATGAAAAAAAAAGTTCACAGGAATAAGTTGCACAAAAACTGTCACGTAGTTAAAAAAAAAAAGCGGAATTCATTCTGGTTTCTTTCCTCTGTTTTCTGAAGACATTTTTTAATAGTGTTCTCCCAGAGAAGCTGTAAATAATATCTAGGAAACTGTAGACAATATCTCCTACTGCCCTCAGCAACGTAGGAATGCTACTGCCCTCAGCAACATCAGCAGGACAGCCACCAGCTATATGGCGGCAAGCACCTGCTGATGCATCTCTAGAACTATCTGAGCAAAAAGCAGGGAACTGACTGCCACTAAGACATCAGGGAGGGACTGCTTCCATGGCCAGAGAGAGTCTCTTTGTAAAGGTCCATCTGAGCTCTCTAGGGCCAGGGTAAAGGCAGAACATAGACCAGGAGGAGACAGACCACCTACTCTGCCTCAGTGAACTCCTAAATTCCTAGAAACTCTCTTTGTGAAAGGTCTCTACAGCTATGAACTATAACCTGTCCCTCAGACTCTGGGTGAGGAAAAACAAAAATTTGGAAAATGAGGTTGCAGGATTAATGTTAGCTACTGCTTCTGGGCTGTGTATTTTCCAGCAAATGACTCAAGAATTGTGCTTTCTCTATCCAAAATGGTGTGTCCTGTGATAAAATGCTTTAGAAATTCATTTTATTAGCTTTCATTTATAATTAAAATTTAGATGGAATTTGTATATTGGCAAAAGCAGGTTTTTAAAAGATAAGACTCTAGAGTATTTCTCTTAGAATACAACTAACCTTAAGTGTAAGAAAAAAATCTCAGCCTTAAAAACTAAATACATTTCTTATAGCCATGTATTTGAGATCTAACACAGCTCATATATCTGAAGTCTGCTTAGTGCTGTATCAGATTATTAAAGACAGTTTAGAGATAGGAGGGTGTTTGCAAGGTTGTCTGCTACCCTTGTATTGTAAAGACTGGGCATTTGATTACACTGCATATTTGCTGTTGTATAATAAGCAAGTCCTGGGGGGCCAATTATTGTCTCCACTTTACTTAAGTGATCCTCAGTCTCATCAAGAAGATCATCAACCAGCTTCTTAGAAAGTGTGACAATCTGAAGTAGTTCCAATGAACATGGTAAATTTCCTAACTTGAAAGTGCTGCTTTGTGATACAAGGACAATGTTTAAGAAATAAAACTTGAAGAAAGGCTCCACATGAAAGCAACTTAAAATAGTGGTTATATCTTAACTACACTTATCACTGATCAAAAAAATAAGCAAGGTTTCTCAAGTGTTTCTTCCTGCGTGGCTTACGCTGTAATTAGCAAGATAAGTTATGCATACTTGGATGAGAAGGTGAGAGAATTTATATTTATTGATCACCTGGTGTGTTCTAAGCTATAATTGTACAAGTATATAATTTAATCTTTCTGCAGTCTTATGAGATGGTTTGAAAATCTGAATTTACAGAGGGGCAAGGAGAAGGTAACATCAAAGAGGTCACAAAACAGATGAATTGTAAAGCTAGAATCTGAAGTCAAGTCCATCTAACATTAATATCTATTCTATAAAAAAAATCCTATCTATGGAGCACATAATGTTGTAGAATGTACTATCACATTACATCTCCAGCATCACTAAAGAATAAATTGTTCTACATAATATGAGGCATTCGATATAATTGAATCCTACTCCCAATGCCTATTTGTTTGACATTTAAATTGGATTTCAGTGAGAAACCAGATAATATTCCTTTGAAAACTATCCATTAATAATATTTTAAGTGAGAACCTGAGACTGACCTAAAATAAATTTAATAAATTTTATTTATTTTACTTCTACCTTAGTCCTGAGCAGTTGAGGCTTCTGGATGAGATTCAAACTACTCTGTAATTGCTATGGAAATAAAAAAGTAATGATAGTGATAGTGATGACAGTTCTATGAGTGGAGCCAGTTAGTTGATTCAAAGGGACTGCTTGAACTTTGATCTGGTTCATATATTTGGTGTGAAAATGAAAGTGTTTCAAGTTCCTTCCATGTCTAATACTTTGTTCACAGAATTCCTGATGCTGCAAGTGTGTGGGGTGGGGAAATAGCAAAGAAAAGCATTGAAACAAAATGGGAAAGACTATGGAAATTTTAATGCTCAACCTTGAACCTCCATGTATTTGTCTCATTTATAATTCTAGTCTCCCAATCATCCTCTGGGGTTTTTAGGAACAAACATCATAAATTCTCATATAACTATGAAGCTGTTAGCAATGGACATGGATCTAGACTTAGTGGCCTTTCAAAACACAATGCTAGAGACTGACAGCACAAACCAGGTAAAGTGGGATTTCCTCTTGCTCTTTCTAAATTTCCCTCCCATTAGTTTTATTGCACATCTCTTCCCTACTGTCAAGCAAAAAGAGAGTCTCAGATTTCAAAAAATTAATTTAGACTATTTCGATCACCACATTCTAGAGTTTTCTTTATTCTTCACCAGGCTATCCTGGAGTTTTATGCTGTCTTTTAGTAATTAGTTTTCTCTGGTAGGCTTGTTACTACCTGTTAATTATTAGGCTTGTTACTACCTGTTTTCCAGTTGGCACACTATACAGTTCCAGGGAACACAGCAAGTTTTACATGAAGACTGAACTTAGCTGACATCATAAGATTCTTAAAGAAAGGGTGTATGTGTGTTACCTGTGAATGCCCTTAGCATCGAACATAATGTCTCCATTATGGTAGGGTAAGGGGAGGTCTAAAATTTAATACAAATTTGTAAGATACATGCCATTGGACATGTCTCTGTAATGATTTCACATTAATGTCTGTCAATGAGGAAACTGAGTGAGTTGCCTAAGAGCAAACATAGCTGAGATCTGAATTCACCACTGCCTTCAGATTCCACCAGGTGATTTTCCAACCACACTCAATACCCTATACAATATTTGTGAAATGTCATCTTCATGAGGTTGTTTATCACCTCTCTGGTTCTACCCAGCCTCCAGAGGGATAAGACTGCAGCTCAGTAAAGCTGTAATTCACAACTGGCTTAATGGCCAATTGGAATGCTCCATGTTATGGTCAATCACTTAGTGCATAATTAGTGTGTAATTAAGAGGTGAAAATTAAGGCACATACAGAACCAGTCTTTGTTAATAATAATCATGCTTTGGGGACCAAGACTCTACTTTCATTTTCATTACCACGGTAGAAAAATAGTAAACAAAGGCAGCGGGTAGCAGGGCTATATGAGAGGTGGGAAGAAGGAACTGAAGGGAAAGTAATCTGTGGATTGTTAACCGCTATCATGCCTTTCAAAGACTGCTTTGTTTGAGTGGCATTTTTAACATTTCCCCTTATTTTCGATATAAATCACATTTAAAATAGTTTTATGATTCTATGCCATGCTCTCTTTGAAGAATTTAGAATGTTAAATGGTCAAAGTCACCTAAACCTTCCAACAGAGTAGCACTTGGTCTCTGCTTTAATATTCTCTGAATCAGGGAATTTACTATTGCTAAGAAAAATCTTATCTTCACATCTCTCAAAAATATGAATTCCTGCAGTTTTCTTGAAATTATTTTCTCTGAAAGAACAATGTGGCAACACACATTCCTAGGCTAGTTTTTTGGAAACCAGGAAAGTTCTCAAGGCTTATCAGCATTTTGGTACGAGAGACCTGGCCACACAAAACCACAAGCGAATATACTTGTATCACTAAACATATGCATAGAATTAGAACATTTTTCATGAATTTTTCAATCTTTAAAAATACACACTTCAGAAAAAAGCCTTATATAACATTTAAAAAATGTATATAATATAATAAACATGGAACCCAGCTATATTAGAATGATTGAAATTTTTACTTGCTCAGCATAGGAGAAATGAGTGAGGGTGCACTGGCAGGGGTCTCACTTAGACCTGTGTGCTCCCATCAGGGACAGCGACCCCAGAGAGCAATGTTCTGGCTTCTCCCCCCAGACCCAGTGCAGCACAGAGGGCCATTCTGCAGCATCCATGTGTTAATAGTCACTCGGTGTGCTGTAGAATAGGCCCTGGTGATGAGTCAAGGGAACACTCAGCCCCATAATTGCTGATTCTAATACATTCCCACTTCTCTCTTATAGGCCTTAGTTTTATTATTGCTACAGGAACTTCAACCATCATTATTAATTTAATAGTGAACCCTTCTGACAGCTTGGAAATCTCCTACTTTAACTCCAACTTCTACAGACCTAGGCAGGCCACAGTCACACCTCCTCTTAGTGGCAAGGTAGAAATGGAAATCAGTCCTTTGTCTCCAGCATAGTAGTTTTTTTGGATGAATATTACTGCTATTTTTGGTATCTGACATCATCCAACAGTATTAAGCAAAACATTGTATTAAGCAGAAGGTCTTTAAAGAAAGTTGCAGATGGAATTCTACTGTGAGCTTTAGTTGTAAAGGAGAAAATCATACTTTGCAAGGGTAAGGTATTAAATAGTGATGGCAAAATCTGCTATTTGTGGGACATTCTGCTAGGCACACTGGGGTACATGAAGATGAGAAACATAGTTTTTGCCAAGCTGGAGCTTCCAATTTAGGAGGAGTTATAATAACTTTGGCCAGGATGAAAGGGACATGTCATTGAGCAAGAAATAGTAGTGCATGAAGTCATGACATTCCCAGCACTTGGAAGTGTTCCATACTTAGTTTTACATGAAGTTGAAATTCCATTAATGTTAATGGCATATTAAGATACCATATGGGAAAAACACTCAATTTGCAAAATCAATAATCAATTACTTGTGGTTGATGTTGGTTAGAGCATATGATTGTGAAATCACTCGTGGGTGCTATTATTATGATAAAATATGAAATTTTCTAAAGACTTTTATAATTTTCTACTTAGTTCCTTAGCACATTTATTCAGAACAAATAGAGGAGAGGTTTTCTTACTTGGGGTCTCGCCATTCATTTCTTCAAGTTCACTGTTAATTCCAACATCTATGGAACTCATTATTTTGTCAATCTGTGAGAAACAAAACCATATCAATGAGTTATTACATTCACATTCAGCAATGCATTTTAAAATAACTTTGAAGTGCCAGAAGCATATTTCTGATATTACTACTACTGTAATACTACAATGAAGAGGCTGACAGACAAAGACTTAAATGAAGTCATACATCTTTTGAATTGCTTTTGAAATATAAATTATGTCTCCCTTTCTTAAACTTTCAAAATCAGCTTTGCTTTGTATTTCTTAAAATGAAATTTGTTTAGACCTAGATGGGTCAGCAAATCGTGAATTCTGTATTTTTTTAAATCAGGAGAAAGGGCTGAGGATAACCTCATGTGATAACGATGCCTCTTTGAGCAGCCATCTGATTCAGACAAAGTGCATCTCTGACTGATGAAGAGGTGGATTTCAGATTGTGAGTATGGCCACTGAAACCAAGTTCTTAATAAGTGGTTTGACAGCCGCAAGCTGATTTGTGACATATAATGATAAGAAGTTAGGCATGGAAACACCTTAATTCCAAGAGATAAATGTTCATTTGACCTACCTCATTTGAAAAATGATTTCAAATGTTATCACAGAATTATACATATAAGAAATGGGTAGATTCAAATAAGCCATTCATCTAGTTTGGAATTTATAGGATGATCTGACTAAGCTCTAGCCATTTTTGGTTAAATCCCCCTCTTGCTCATCCTAGCAACTTGGGTGGACAGCAGGTTTCAGAAAGGACAGTGAGCATTACTTAAATGTCCCATTTTGTTCACCCTGATACAGATACAGAGAGATTAAGTGATTTTCCCAAACAGCTCAATTCAGAATGTCAATATCAGAACCATTTCCATTTCTAGTTCTCAGAATATTATAGTGACCTATTGTGCTTCATAACCTAATTCTGTGTGTAGTTTTTTGAGAGACAAAATGTGACATGCTAGAACAAAATGCCAAGGGAGACAATAGTCATTCTTTGAAGAATTTATTATTTTATGATGTAGTCCTCCTTAGGGACAAAGAATGATATTTCAAAAGCTTATAAGGGCACTTACTTTCTGAGTAATTTTATGAAATTAAAGACTTTGTCTTTAAGTAGAACTTAAATTGGTGATACTCAACCCCAATGCATTTTTCTTTAATGTCTCTCTGATAGTTGTAAAGGGAAAGGGAAATATTAAGTAATTTGTGTTCATTGTATGGTGCTTGGAGAAGAGCCAGGGCCATTTGGTTTATCATTAAGGTTAAGATTATTAGGAGCTTTTAAGAAAATATAAGATACTCTAAAAAAGAGAGGCTCTAATAAAGAATTCAGCAAGTAGCAAAATGATACAGAGCAGCAAAAATACAAAGATTTTTCTCAACTTGTCAGCTGCAGTGCTTGGTGGGATATAATGTGAACATTCTCTTGTACCTCATAGCTAGTTATTACTTCTGCTTGATATCAATTTCTATGGAAACAATAGATTTCCCTGCATGTGTGAAATGGTGTTTGTTTTTACACTCCCTGTGAAATTATTATGTATTACCCCTAGACCCTTTCCTTTTCACTTGGAGCTGCATGTGGGGTGTTTTTTTTTTCCCCCTCTGAAAGACTTAAAAAGCTGAAAATCCTTCCCCTAAACCTCCCGCAACACCAAAGCCTTACACAAAACACAAGAAGAACAAGGCTTACTTCTTCCCATTCAGAAGTGAAGGAAGGCGTTCTTTCAGAATTCCCTTTAGAACTGTGTTCAGCAGTTGAAGATTCACTCCAGTTAACTCTTGATGTTTTCTCATTTGAAGGGTAGGCAATGAGATCAGAATCTGACTTAGAGACATTTTTTGATAAGTGCATGTCGATTAGGGCTTTTGGCAAGGACCTTATTCTCCCCAGTGTACAGGCTCTCTCCACAAATCCCCCTGTGTTCACCATCCACTGGTCTCCACTTCGGGATCCACTTCTACTTGTCCTAGTGCCAACAATGGTATGATTTTCGACTTGGTTGCTTTTTTTGTGAAAAATAGTTCTACTGACCACTTTGGGTTTAATTTTCTTTACCAAAGGTTCTGAGTTATTTTCTGCTGGAGACTGCTTGAAAGGCAAAGGGCTATTTGCCAAACTGACTTCATCTTGTCTTTGATGTTCATCTCTTTTCCCATAGAGATGAAATGGGTTTTCAGGGGATTCACAGGCTGGAGAGGACCCATGGAGAAGGCCTGCAAATTGTCCAGGATCATATTCTTTTGGGGGATCATTATCCTCTTGTTGAGAGAGGTCATCTGCAAAAAAGGAGGAAGAGCATCAGGATGCTTGTCTATAAAGACTCCAAATCTCTGATACAATAGCAGTACTGTGTTGAAACTATTCAATATCCAGACATTTGATTTATTGCCATACACCAATATCCTCATCTTACGAAATACCCATGACCCTAAAGTGTGATGTATAATACAAATGATAGAGTCTGTGTGTGTGCATCTCAAAGTTATGAATTGAATAATTTCATAATTTTCTTCCCTATCCCCAGGGTACATATTTTATATTGGATACAAAATTTAGGTCTCCTTGCAGTAGTAAACCCATGTCTAAACCCTTGTTGTAAGTGAATCACTATGCACTAAGACATCAGGCAGGTAAATCAAGATCATATGTAATCATATATTTCTACCTTTCCCCAAGCAAATAAATTAAGAGACACAATCTTGAAGAGACATATAACTGGAGCTAATTTATGATTAATAATCCCGAGGATGTTACTTAAATATGAAATTAAGAAATAAGAATAATTCTCTATAGATTTAATAATTTAGACTAAAATGATTTGCTCAGGTTTAACAGGCAAAAAATTCAATCTATAGTATCAATGTGTAGTATCTATAGTATCAATAGTATATAGTATATACATAGTATCAATAAAATCTACAGTATCAATAAAAAGTGAGATACTTCTATAAGAAACTAAACTATCTTTTAGCACAAAACTATCTTTTCCTTTCTTTTTTGAAGTGGTATTAATTATTTTTTAATTTCTTCAAACCTTTGAAAATATAACACAGAAAATAACCTGAAGAAGAATGGTAGTTTTATGGCTTTAGAATTATTTCTAAGATAAAACATAAATTTTCCCTGAGATTTAAAATACACCATGCTCTTAAATGACTTTTCTTTTTTTTTTTTTTTTTTTGGTGGGACCCTCGCCAGTGGCCAGGGAACGAACCAGCGCTGCAGAGGCTGCAGGCAGCCTCGCAGCCCAGCGCTCAACCGCTGCGCCACCAGGGGAGGCCCTAAATGACTTATCTTTTAAAGATATATAGTGTAAAAGCTGGTTAAAGAACTTAACAAAGGTAGTCATTTTACTTTTATCAACTGGTCATTTAAATTCATATAACTAAGTATTTGTCAAGATTCAAAGTCAATGATCCAATAAACCCACAACCCACTCTTGTGAAAAAGTTAAATATAGCCGAAGTGGTACATAATAACAAGAAATGCAAAGTTGACGTGATTCAAAAATTAAAGAGAAGTACACAGACATCTCAGAAATTCAGAGGCTCATAAGAGAGTACTATGAGCATTTGTATGCTAGTAAATTGAATAGTCTAGAAGAGATAGACAGACTCATAGAAATATATGACCATCTGAGACTGACTCAGGAAGAAGCAGAGAAACTGAGCCCTTTTACACTATTGGGAATTTATATTTGTCCAGTCCCTATGGAAAGCAGCATGGAGGTTTCTCAAAATATTGAAAATGGATCTACCATAGGCCACAGCAATTCCACTTCTAGGTATCTACCTGAAGAATACGAAAGCACTAATCCAGAGGGAAATCTGCACTCTTATGTTCATTGCAGCTCTTTACATTAGCCAAGTTGTAGAAACAACCAAAGTGTCCCCAAACAGATGAGTGGCTCATGAAGATGGATATGTATATACCGAATGGAATACTACTCAGCTGTTAAAAATAAGCTAACTTCTTGTCAATTGCAACAGCATGGGTGGAACTGGAGGGGATTTTGCTAAGTGAAATAAGTCAGAAAAAGAAGGGCAAATGCTGGATGGTACTACTTACATGTGGAATATAGATAAACACAAAGGATCAGATGAAGCCAAACCAATAACAAACACTGGATATCTGACTGTAGAACTGAGGTGGCCAGAGGGTGAGGTGGAAAGGAAGGAGAATAATGGACTATGGTGGAGGACAGCAGTGTTTTAGTGGAGGGTGTGGTGTGCATGCAACTGAAGTGTGAAATACTATGCCTCTAAATCACAAACAATACTATAAACCAATGTCACCTCCATTAAAAATAGATATATTAGGGCTTCCCTGGTGGCACAAGGAGTTAAGCACAGCACTATGAAGCTATCTGCAGCCACTGCAGCAGGAGTTCAATCCCCGGCCAGGGATCTACTCACATGACACAGCAGACCTCTCTCTCCTGTCTCGCCCGATGCTCCCCTCAGCAGTGTATTTTGTCAGTCTGCCTGTTCTGCTCCCCACTCTGTCTCTGGTGAATCTTCTCACCCCCCCGCATCTGTGGCCTGAACCCTAGTTCTTGTATGCATAAATAGATCTTTTAAAAAATAGATATTTTTTTAAAAAGATAAAATATACAAAGAACAGACTCATAAGCTGTAAAGTACTGTATATATTAAAATTATATATGCTGTGGATTAATCAACACTAAATAATTTCTACAATCAATAAAAAAGATATATTAATTATTTAATTTTTAAAAAGTAGACTTAGGGGCCTCCCCAGTGGCGCAGCAGTTGAGCGCTGGGTTGCGAAGCTGCCCGCAGTCTCTGCAGCGCTGGTTCGATCCCCGGCAGCTCCCCGGCCACCAGAGGAGGGTCCCACATGGCTCGCAGACCTCTCCTGCCACCCGCTGCTCCCCTCAGCAGTGTACTTTGATCTTCTGCCTGTTCTGCTCCCCGCTCTGGCTCTGGTGAATTCTCTCACCCTCCCGCACTTCTGACTGTACCCAGTGCTTGTATAAATAAATAAATAAATCTTTAAAAAAAAATAAAAAATAGATTTAGAGCACTAGCTCTCCCTTTCCCTTTGTGAGGAAATGATGAGAAACCTCTCACTTATAAGAGGACCTCATTCATCCATGTTGGCCCTCTGGTCTCAGACTTCTAGTCTCCAGAATGATGAGAAATAAATTTCTGGTGTTTATAAGCTAAAAAAAGGAATGCCAGCAGCACAGAACACATTAAATATATGTTCCTATTATTAGAACAAGAAATTTTAATCTACAGGATTTAATTTTTACAAATAACGAAGTATAAATTGATTGTACTAGACATTCAATGAAGATTGTCATTTTGATATGGTAATCATATGAAACTCACTCCATTGTTTCTACTTGCATATTTATAAAGTATGCTTTGGAGACAATTTTTGCATTTTCTGACTATTTCTTTAGATGAAACAGGCAAAATATATAGATTAAGTTGTTTTCATAACTCGTCTCATTTAATTTCACACCTCTCTCATGATAAGTGAATATTTCATGCCAAGGTACAAAACTAAATATGTGTGAATTCCTATCTGATATTTAACCAAAGCATCATTAGCATTTCAAAGAAATAACAGAGTAAGCATCCAGGAGTAAGCAGTTCAATCTATTTTTTTGTACCCATCTTTGCCCTGATCTTTATTACCCTTATAAAATCCTGAATAATAATAAAACCATAAAAATTTCATGTTGAGATAAAAACAAATTATGAAAAACAAGTAACTTCTTATATTACAGATCATATCTTTAATCTATTGGGTCATCAGAATAATTTTTAGAAAACGAAACATCTCTTAGGTTGTTTCCACAAGTTGGCTACTATAAATAGTGCTGCAATGAACACAGGAAGCATGTATCCCTTCAAAGTAGTGTTTTTGCATGTTCATTAGATACTTAGGAGAGGAATTGCTGGGTGGTTTGGTAGATCTATTTCCAGTATTTGAGGAACCTCTATACTGCTTTCCAGGGGGGCTAGACAGGTCTATATTCCCACCAAGAGTGTATGGGGCTCCTTTTACCCCACAGTCTTGCTACTATTTGTAGCTACTGGGTTTTTGGTGGCCATTCTCATAGGAGTGAGGTCTGATCTTACTATGGATTTGATCTGCATTTGTATATTATATGCAGATACAATTTGTGCATATCATATTTAATTTCAAGTGCATAGATGTTTAAAATTTTATATTTTTCTAGTAAGTTAAATGTATCATTTCATAGTGAGTATACACTTGATGTTTAAGTCTATTTGGCTGAAGCTGAGATCGCTTACCCAGTTTCCAGTGGTGAGTGGATCTTAGGATAAAACTTCTTTCATACTCCTTTCATTGTTATCATTTACTGTGTGTGTGTGTATGTGCATGTGTGCACACACGCGTTTCCTTACCTACAGATGGGGCTATTAAAAAGAGTAAAAAGCTGGAGCTTGCTTTACTACCATCTAACGATATTTTCCTTTTAACTGATGAGTTTACTAAATTTATATTTATTTTGATTACTTACATATATAATATGCTTACTTTATTTTTTGAGATATTTATCTTTCATATTATTTCCCCCCCTCTATTTCTTCTTTTGTTCTTTATCTTATTCCATTTTCTTTCTATGGTTAGGAATTTATATATATATACTTCATATATATTTCTTTTTCTTTAGGTACTCTTAAAATTTTACCATATACCTTAAATTTCATGAAGTTTAAACAATATCTTATCCATTCCTTTACTGAACAACATTTAGATTACTTTAAATTAAATTTCTCTTTCTGTAATACCTACTGTAAGTGTTTTCATTCTATTTGTCAGGTTTCCAAATCAGGTATTATTCTTTTATTCAGACAATTTTATTTGAATTTACATATGTTTGCTATTTTATTCACCATTTCTTCTTCAGAATCATCCTTGAAGTAGTCCTCTAGATTTTACTTTTGAAAAAGTCTCTTAATATAAATGCTTACAGGTTTTTAAATAGGAGTATCTTCATATTTCCCTTTAATTTATTAAAAATAGTTTTTATTTAAGTTCACTATATTGATGGTTATTGTTGCTCATACTTTGAAGAGATCAGTCTATTGTTTTGTTATCAGAAATATTTGAAGAAATGTATCTATTTGCTTTTTTTCTATTTATAATTCAATTATAAATAGCTTATTGTGGCTTATTTATCTGAGGTGTTTTGTTAGTTGTAGTGCTCGTGTGCTCCATTTAGTACATTCATTTATATCCAAATAAGAATATCTTTCCAGGTCATTTACAC